GAGTCTAGATGAATAGTCAAAACTGGCCTGGATTCACTATCCTATGTTAGACTCCCAAGTTAAGGGATATGTGTGTGTGTGTGTGTGTGTGTGTGTGTGTGTGTGTGTGTGTGTGTGTGTGTGTGTGTTTACTGTTTTCTTTTGCATTGAATGAATATATTCGATTGGAATATTTTTTTCTTTTAATTCTGTAATGTTTTGCATAATGTTCTTAGCTTGCTCTAGAAGGCCTACAATATACATATTAACACAAATCAGAAGTTTTGCTACCTTCACTCCAGTGAGCTAAAGAGACATTGTGGAGAATAGGCAGTGCCCTACCCTAAGTTATTACATTCTGTGTAAAATGTTGGTTTTTCAGACTGTGCCTGGCTCTGAGAGACTCCATTTAACAAGAATATTTTGATCCCACTTTTTAAAGGTGGAAGATAACTCTGGACCTCTGTTGACAGTATGAATGGCCACCTGTCTGGCACCACATGCAGCACAGACTGATAAATGGCTTGTTTCTGAGAGTAGAAAGGGTACTGCCCTTTAAATTTATTGGGGGTGAATTGGAACTGTGGGGGGGCAGTTATGGATGTATTAATATCATCTGGAACCCAATCCTGAGAACTCATCAGATACTCCAGACTGAGGAGAGGGTGCAGCTCCTTCATCTGGACCCCATAAAGAGGTGTGATGGCCAGTGCCCCATTGATCTGTCATCTGACCACCCAGGGTGTGTGTCAAGGAATTGATGCACAGGGAAACTGACTGTCCCAAAGGTTTCGTTTGGCTGGATCCCAGTGTTAATATGACTTACATAAATTGCTGCCTGTCTGTCTACCTGTTATCCTGTCTGGGCCTGCCGCCCATGTCATCCATCTGATCATTTGTTCATCTGGATCTTGTTCTGCCCGTTCATCTATGCAGCTGGACTCAACTCTGTAGTTCAACTTTGACCCTGTAGCCTGGCTGTACAACAGCAGCCATGATGTCTCTGCAGGCCGTTCTCTCACCCCACAGCTCCTTTACATTTCTGTCAGTTTCCCAGCTCTGACTCCTCAGGCTTCTTTGAAAAATCACATTGCTTCTTTAGCCACTTAGAGTCATTCTAGAACTAACTTGTAATACACACACACACTCTGTGATGTGTAATGTGTGATATGAGGGCTGGAAAGATGGCTCAGTGGTTAAGAGCACTGACTGTTCTTGCAGAGGACCTGGGTTCAATTCCCAACACTCACATGGCATCTAACAACCATCTGTAACTCCAGTTCCAGGGGATCTGTTGCCTTCTCTGACCTCTGTGGGAATTGCATGACACCAGGGCACTTGTACACAGCAGACAATAAAATAAAAATAATAAATAAAATATTAAAAAAGCCAAATAAAATAACTTGTTTTTGCCTATCAAGGAAAGCAGGAGGATCTTGAAAATTAGACATTGTGGAAAGACACAGATGTGCTTGTGTACATTTGTGGCCTAGTGCACTCATGACAGGCATGGTCTTATATAGTTCTATCCTCTTCCACATCTCTCTGTTATTATTATGCATATTTCCTCTGTGTGTTACAAACAGAAATCCATTGTTACAGTTATTAGCTTATATAGTCCTTTCTAGAAGCTGAAAGGAGAGCAGTGAAGAAGCCTATATGGTATAAATGTATTTCTGGCCAGACATTTTGGTTTATGGCCACTGCATTCATGTTCCCAGCTGCTGTCATACCATTATTTCTGTATACTTTTATCCTTATTCATTTTTGTGTTTCATTTTAATTGCATTTCAGTATGTGAATCATGTGTCTGTTGTTTAACTCAGTTTCTTTTTCAGTCAATAAAAGGGAGAAATGGCCATTTTCCCTACTGTACTACATACTGTATTGTCTTCACTGATGTGCTTTTTCCTGTGCTTTCGACTTGCTCTTGGGGATAATTTTGTTTAGGTTGAGGAACATCTTCTATTGTCTGTAAGGTGAACTGACTAGCAAAGCATGAATTTGTGTTCACTTTTGAGATGTTGGTTTTGCCGGTTACATACTCTTTAGAGATTTTTCTTCCTGTCAGTGTGAGTCACCCCACTGTTTTCTAGCGTTCATTATTTCTGGTGAGAAATAGTCATTGAGTTCCTGTAGATAATTATTTTAGTTTTTGTAGTTCTCAATCTTAAAATATCTGTTGTAGAAAGAAATCGTCCTCATACCTTGCTTTCCTTCAACCTGGTTTCCCTTAGTTCTCTGAGAATGTTACTGAGGGCCACTTCAAACCTACCCTGGTTAGGTTTCCACGTGGGCCGTTGCTGTTTGCTTCCCCAATGCCTCCCTCCTGTAGAGGTCACCCCACATAAAATTCTGCCCTGAGTGTGAACAGGACATCTTGGCTACATTTGCATGGTTTTAGCCTCTGTACCATGGTGCTGAGGGGAGGGTAAGTATGGCACGAGCTAGAGCAGTGGGCCTCATGTTTGTTTTTTCAGTTCTATCCCCGATGTTTTGCTTTTTCTGTCACACTGAACTGAGACTAGGAAAAGAAGCGGGTCATGGTCTAAGTGCCACACAGGTACTTTTTTCCAACCAAGATTTAGATTTTCTTAAGCATTTGTCTGCTGAATGCCCTTGGGACAAGTCTCAGAGGTTTTAAGTGGTTATTTTAAAAATACCTTTCAGTACTTGTTTCCCTGGGGAGAAAGACTTAAACTTCTCACCTTCCCAAT